CGGGCGCGGGCCGCCGCTCCGGACACAGACGGCGACAGGCACGACGCACCGGGGCCCCGCCCGGGCTCGTCTTCAGCGCCTGCACAGTCCGAGGACACCGCGGCTCTCCGGAGGCGGCGGGCGCCGGGGCTTCCCCCTGCTTTTTCCTCCCGAGGTGGGAGAGGCCGGACCCACGGAAGCCCCCAGCAGTCCTTCCCACACTCCCAGGGACGAGAAAGGCTGCAACAGAGGCAGCGGGAGTGTCCCCGGCGCCGCGACGGACGGTGGATGGACGGCGGGCAGCCCACCCTCTCCGTGCGCCCCTCCCCTACGCGGCTGGCGCCTCCCAGCCGCAACATCTCCCGCCCCGAACCGGGGGCGGCGGGGTGAGCGCCTCTGGAGAGGCTGGCCCGGGGGTGCACGCTCGGGGGAAGGCGGCAGCGGCTGCACGTGCTGACTGGCCGCATCCCCGCGAGCACAGAGCCCCCCATCTGCACCGAGCGTTGTCATCCGGGCGCTGCCTTCAAACGCGCCCGTGAGAACGCCACGTGCGCTGCTGAGTCCCAGGAAGGACGCCCCCGGCTCCCCAGAGTGCCAGGCGCGCCCAGCCCGCTCACTCCACTCTCTGTGCAAACGTTATGTGTGGTGCTGGTGGAGGTGGAGGTGGGGGCAGTTGGCTACTAAGAGGCTGGCGCAGGGATAGAGATCACCTAGCGCTCCTTCAGTTACTCTTGCGGGAAGCGCCTGCCCGGCGCCGCGGGGCCCCAGCTCTGCCCGCCCCGCCCTGTCCACTGCCCGCGGGGAGGCGGAGCGCGAAGGGAGAAGGTGCGAAGGCTCGGCGCGCGGCGGTAGGGTGGAGGCGCCTGGCTCGGGAGAGGAGGTACGGCCCGGGCCCGCTGGTTCAGCCCCTAGGCTGCCCGGGAGAGGGGTGGAGGGGACAGGGGCGCTGGCAGGCGGTTGTGGAAATTGCACCCCCCATGCAAGGGGTGCGAGGGCGCGCTGCTACTTCGCAGCTTGTCGCCTGCTCGCGCCGGGTACCTCTGCAGAGTTTTTTGGTAGGGATGATGGGAGTGGTCAGCCGAGTCTGGATGTGCAGATGCTGAGCCATTGCGCCGAACCGTGGGGCGCTTTGCCTTAAAAGACGCCTCTGACATAACCCCTCCCTTCGGAGCAGTTTAAACCCTTTTTAGTTTAAAAAACTCAGTTCACGCCACTAAAATCTTTTAGTGTAAAAACGAAAAGTTCTGCAGGGGCTCACGCAACACGATCTAAGTCCTCATGTACGAGCCATGGCAACGGAATGTTTCTGGTCACCGTTGGCGGAATTTGGTGGTTGGTGAGGTGGGGAGGTGAGAAATGCGTGCTCACCCCTACCATTGAAAGTGCATCTTGGCTTTTTTCAAAAAAGCTTTATCGAGACATAATTTACGCACCATAAAATTCACCTGTTTTGAGCCTGTTTTTTTTTTTTTTTTAGTGTATGTAGTATGTTTACAGCACAGCCACCACCACAATCTAATTTTAGCCCATCTCCACCCCCAAAAAGAAACCTTATATCAATTAGCAGTCACTCCTCAGTCCCTGCTCCTCCTCCCCAACCCTAGGCAGCCGCTAATCTACTCTCTGTCTACAGATTAGTTTATTCTGGATCTTGTGTAAGTGGAGTCATACAATACGTGGCCTTTTTTGTATGTCTTCTTTCCCTTGCCATCATTTTTGAGATTCATCCACGTTGTAGCATGTATCAGTACTTCATTCCTTTTATATTGCCAAGTAATATTCTATTGTATGGACATACCACACATTTTATTTATCCGTTCATCGGTTAATGGACGTTTGCGTTGTTGCCACTTTTTGGCTATTATAAACAGGACTGCTATGAATATTTGTGAATAAATTTTTGTGTGAACATGTTTGAATTTCTCCTGAGCAATTACCCAGGAGTGGAATTGCTGGATCATATGGTAATTTTCTGTTTAACTTTTTGAGAAATTGCCAAACTTTTCCAAAGTGGCTGCACCATTTTACATTTTCACCAGCAATGTGAAGGTTTCCATTTCTCCATATCCTCAACATTTACGTCTTCTTTTTGTTTATAGCCATCCTAGTGGGTATGAAGTGATAACACTGTAGTTTTGATTTGCATTTCTCTAATGACTAAAAGATATGGAGCATCTTTTCATGCACTTATTGGTCATTTAGATATCTTTGGAATAATGTCTTTCAGATCCTTTGCCCCTTTTTAATTGGTTTATTTGTCTTTGTTTCTCAGTTGTAAGAGTTGTTTTTATGTATTCTTTATGTCTTCTTAAAAACACAAATAAGGTATTTCTCCACACCAAGCAATAGAGTAAAAGGAAGCTGAGGACTTTGGAGTCGTATGGTTTGGATTCAAAAAACAACCTTCTCGATTTGTGAGCATAGATACTAAGTGATCTTGGGCAAATTACCAGGTATTGTCTCTGAGCCTGCAGGACTTCATCTGTAAAATAGGGTAATAATGCCCATCTATTAGAGTTTCAGTGACAATTAAATGAAAATGTGTATTACTGCTTAGCAAAGTACCTGGCAGGCCCTTAAAGGGATGTTTGAAAGATATATGCCGGACAGGTCTTGGTGCCTGCCCTGTTCCAGAAACTCATAGACTTTCCCAGGGATTACCAGGAAATTGGGATTAACACCCTATTTTCCTGATTTTACCCATAAACCTCTGGGTTTTTATTCATCCATACCTAAGTTTTTTTATTATCTTAACCACTTTTAGTTTTATTTAGATTTGTTTTCTCCCACAGCTGGGAACAGTTTTGAGAAAAGAGTTACTGTTTTATTTTAAAATCTGTTTATCTAAAATTTTTATGTTTCTCCTAAATTAAAGGAAAAAATATCCCTTTAAAATGACTTTGAAAGCATTCTTATCTGTGGAAAAAGAACCAACGCTTTGGAGTCACAGACCTGAATTACCTCAGTATCTTTTATAATTATAATTTTAAGGAAATCATCTGATGTCCTTGAGCTTTGGTTTTTCCATCTGTGAAATGGAACCATGATATTCCACGGAGTTGTGGGAAAGTACCAGCAGAAGCTATAAAAATAAACACGGTGGCAAGCATTTATTGAGTTCTTAATACATGTCCAGTGCGTTAAGTGTGGTGTCTCACTTCACCCTCATGATTGATGACACAGATGTTTTGATTCCCATTTTACAGATAAAACTTGCCCAATGTCTCTGAGCTGGACTCAGAGCTGCATCTGTCTAACTCCGAAGCCCAGTTCTCTCCATAGGCCAGCCAATGCGCAGAAGTGTGTGGTTTTAAAGTTGCTCATGGTCCCTGTATTAGTTTTCTATTTGCTGCTGTAACAATTACCATGAATTCAGTGGCTTAAACAACACAAATATATTACCTATGTTCTGTAGGTCAGAAGTCTGATTCACGTCTCACTGGGCTGAAATCCAGGTGTCAGCAGGGCTGTGTTCCTTCTGGAGGCTCTAGCTGGAGAATCTGTTTCCTTGCCTTTCTCGGCATCTAGAGCCTGCCTGTAATCCTTGGCTAGTGGCCCTTTCCTCCATCTTCAAAGCCTGCAGCAATGGTCAAGTCCTTCTTGTATCACATCACTTAACTTTGCTTCTGTTGTCACATTTCTTTTTCTGACCCTCTCTTCTGCCTCCCTCTCCCACTTTTAAGGACTCCTGTGATTATATTGGGCTCATCCAGATAATCTCTGTATTTTAAGGTCAGCTGATTAGCAACCTTAATTCCCTCTTGCCATGAAACCTAATGTGTTCATAGGTTCCAGGGATTACGATGTGGGCCACTTTGGAGGAGGGCATTATTCTGCCTTCCACAGTACCTATTCAGTATTCGTGTGATGGTGATTTATCCTGGCCTTCCTCTAACTGTGACTGCTTGGCTTTGCAGGAGATCCTCCTGGAAAGCAACTGCAGCATGTAAGTCCCAAACCTGCCTCCACCCAGCCTTGTCTTTCTCCTTCTGTTCCTGTCTCACCATGCCCAGCATCTCTTGCCTATTGATGCTAACCCTATATGTGCTTTAACTGTTAGTGATTTGAAAAGTCCAGTGGAGGGCTTCCTGGTTTGGAACCTGATTCCAAGAGAAGGAAGGGAAGCCCTTGGTCAGGAAAGGGAGTGGAGGCTTATTCAGGCTTCTGCTCTTATGCCCAGTGTGTTTCCTTTTGTCAGAGTCTGAGCTTGGGAAGTCTGAAGCTGACACCTTTGTTTGACAGGTCCTGGAAAAGCAGTGACTCCGACCCTCTAATAAACTGTTTGGGAAGAAAGGAGTGTGTGAGGAACAGAAATCCCCAGGTGAGTTAGCGTGGGGGTTGGGTGGTGCTGGGACCTCAGCCTGTGACCTGGATCCTGGTTAGTGATGCCCAGTCTGCCTGGTTTCTGTTCAAGTGGAAAACTTGGCATCTGCCTAGGTTATGCTCTTCCTCCAGTCAGTGGATATGCCCCGCTACCATTGCCATGGTGCAGACCCTTATTCCCTGGACCGCTGGCTGCTTCTAACTCCATGCTCCTGTTTCATTCTTTCTTCCTTCCATTTTACCCTCCACCACCTGCAACGTGATCTTATTAAAACACAGATCTGGTGGAATCACTCCTCTAGTTAAAACCCTTCGCCCACGTCTCCCAGCCAGTGGAATAAACTGTGACTGCTGTGACAGAGTGTTCAGCGATTTCATAATTTGGCTTCCCCTGCATCTCTAGCCTCCTCTCTCTCCCCTTGCCCGCATGCAGCGTGTAGTCAGCTGTTCCTGACTACATGCGATTTCCCAGACGTGCCATATCTCTGTGCTTTTGCTTGTCGATCCTGAAAAACTTCCTAATGCCTCACTGAAGGCACAGACTCCTGGTGTGCTGATGCCTCTCTGTCCCCCCAGACCGTGAGCTCCTGCTTTGATGGCAGGGACATGCTTGGCCTCACTCATCACTGGACCACTCTGTAACATTGATAAGTATTTGCTGAATGACTGAGTACAGTATAACCGTTCAGTGTTCACAGGAGAGGAATGTTTGTAGTGGGGTGTGTGTGTGTGAATGTTTTAACATTGAAAAAAATGTGTCACTTATTATGTGTTCTAAGTCCTCTGAATCCTCTAACCTTGCACTTGCCTTTTAATGTTCTTTTTCTTCTTAGGATGTAAGAAAAAAGAGACAGAGGTGTATGTTGGCAATCTTCCACTGGATATCTCTGAGGTATTCTTCACTCTCTGTGAACAGCTGCTTCTTAGTTATTTGGTCTTCCGCATATGATTTATTAACCTGCTAGCAACTTCATTTTACCAGTTTTTAGACATCCGAGAGCTGTGAAGGTGTAGGCAGTCACTAGTTGGTGACTAAGGTGACTAGCTCATAACAGTTTGCCTTGGACTTTCCCAGTTTTAGCAGTAAAATGCTAAAACTGCATCCTGGATCATTGGTCCCCCTACCTATCTCATGTAAACCTGGATGGTCACTTTGGATTGAGGCCTGTAGTTGGGCACCTTTTTTTTAGAAAGGGGCCTTGTTAGGGCTTAACTGCTGATTCCTTGGTAAAAGGGAGCAGTCTTTCTCAGCCAAAAAAACAACCCCCACTTGAATTTGAAATGAACCAGTTTGGTCAGTGGGCTGCATCAGTGGAATGTGAAAAGTAGAATATAAGCAA